TGTAATCTGACAGCCATCGTTGGTGGATTGGAAAGCAAGCTAAGAAAAAGTCAATGATGAATAGTTCTTACTGCTCGGAACGGACTGATCTCGAAATACAGAAAACAGGTGTACGCAGGGGAGCCACATCGCCTGATAGAAAGGGCATGTGCATTCTCCAGCAGAGGTGTCGAAAGTCCGGGAGCATCTGGGTGTTTGCACCACAAACTATAAGTTAGTTTACGCAGCTCGGCCTCACCTTGTTTGTTCCGAAACTTTCATACGGCAGCCGAGGACCCAAGTGCCTCAAAACGAGAGAGCATGCATGTCGTCATTCGACAGACTACGTTTAGAACGTAGGCGTCACCCTCTAGGATTTTTCGCCTGTCGCAATGGTAGGACGTATGCCCTACAAACTCCCGCATGAGCATGCGTTGCATGCGATCTGTCTACATTTACTACGTCTGGAAAGCGTCGGAATAACGTTATCTGCTGCCATCGGGAGAAACACGTGGCTATAGTGACCCTCCTCCCCCTGACGCAAAAGAACGCGTCCGGTCTCCCAAAGTTTTGCCAGGACCGAAGGCATATCATCTGCTATATTAAAACCGAACCATGCGGTGCCGGTGCCGGTCGGCACTTCCGGCGGTAGTTGTGTATATCCTTAGTGGTAAGAATATTTCCGAATTCATCCGCCACAAATTGCCGCAACTCAGATGACGGCGTTCCATTTCATTGCAGGGCCTGGCATGTGCCCAACTCGTCTTCGGTTAGGCGTCGATTGACTGGAAGCCGATCGTACAGAAAATTTGACAGTTTGTGGTTATGTTCCAGAAAATAAGAGGTCACTGCCGGTTGGTTCCTTTGCCTCCGTAGACAAAACCGCACTGGACAGTTGGTGCTTCGCGTACTTTTTTTTATTAGAAAATACGCTCGGCTTACTAGCTTCTTTGGATTCCCAGGCTTTCCGTTGGTCTTTGAAGGCGCCTGCTGCATTTGTAGTACACACATTCGTAACGCAAAATAGCGTTGGTGATTCGATTACTGGATGAACTCACAAATATCACAAAGTTATCCTTCATGTATTCATTTAAGGTCTTCTCAAATGCCGTGAAGGATGAAAGCGATACACCCAAAAATTTCTCAACGAAAGCCACTTCCGAAGCCGTAGCAGACGAAGCACGAGGCCGAATATGCGCCAGTAAAGTTCAAAGAGATCGATTAACATAAGTCGCAAAAAATGACGGCAGATGGGGGGATTTTCAGTCTGAGCATATATGCAAAGAAGTGCAACATTTTGACGTCAAATATTTCTTTCACCCGCACGGCTCCTGCACAAAAACGCATTGGGCCTCTAGCCGCTGACGCAAAAGCCGATATTATGAGCTTTTTCTCCGTTAACGATGGATGGATTAGTTAGTCACCACGTACACCTAGCCGCATGTTAGTGGTGTGCGTCGGTTAAGATCGTTCAGCTGTCTGGTATTATCGACGTAGGCTCAATGTGGCTAGTTAGTTAGGCATTGCGTACCGCTAGCCGCATGTTAGTGGTGTGCGTCGGTTAACATCGATAAACCTCGAGGTCTTTCTAGCATAATTCGCAGCCTATAATGAACGACTGTGGTTTTTGCCGGCAAACGTGCATGATGTTTAGCGAATAATTAGCGTGCACTACGGAAATTTTACTGGCAGCAACGAATCATTGACCAAAATTTGTTTGCACGAATGCGCCTACGCATATGTTGCATCGCCAAAAGCCATTTAGATTCTAGAATGTTGAGGAAATCTGTTCCGGTGGAAAATTGCCTGAAAGTTACGTTTAGTGTATGTGTCAAATTTTCCAAAACTCGCGATTTTTCGTCATCAGGAAACGTATTCAAAGTCTGCGGTGTTTATTCACCTGGAAATTTAGTTCACTTAAACAAATCGCCATAGTAAAGGATTTTCAATAATACAGGAGCATATACACTAGACATAGACATTCTACACTATGAAGCGGCAAGTCTGAAAATGCCGTAGATTTCGATAAATCAATCTCATTGTGCGAATAGCCAGCGGCGACTAAATCTCCGTGTTTGTGTCAACTGTTGAACGTCACAATAAATCATTGTCACATGTTTTTAGTCGTGAATAATTTTCCTACCGTGGAATATATCACTCACACGGAACCATCTGCAGGAAATCTCGACGAGTGAATATTTTCCTTTCACAGCCAGTTACTGCATTTGGATCGGTGTAGTGGACTACTAGACCTACGCATTCGTGAGTCCCCATTTGACTACTCACTCCTTTCCCATTGTGATTTTGTGATTTTGCATTGGTTACTTTTGCTTGTTAATTTATCCAAACACGCTGATTAGGTCCTAGTCCGCTACATGTCACTGCTCTCTATGTTCTCAGCGCGGGGCAGTATGCTTGCCAGCGCGAGGATTCGCATAAATAAATGCTTAAGATTGCTTTAAACTGGGTTCTGGAGGGAGCGTGGACAACCGTCGGAGGAAGTTCATTCCACGCAGCTAC